GGAGTTCTTAAGAATTTTATAAAACATTTCTTTGCATTCTTCTCGACATCAGTTGAACTCTCTTTTGACACTTTAATTATCAGTTCTGTTAACCTTTTCTTCGGTCTTTCGAGCGATTCCTTTCAAATATCATAAATAAATACCGGTTTATGAACTCATATTACCGTCATTTCATTTAATTATTTATATAACACTTGAAAATATAGAGACAATTCATACGAGTATTGTTTGTGGTATTTGATCGCATTCTTCAGAAGACATAATGGTTTTGCAATTCATAAGTTTTGTCAGTTCTCTAAACTCTTTGATAGTGAACGACACCTGCATTGGTCCGCGTCTTCCGATTATATAAACATTTTTAATATTACTTTTCGACAACTTTTCCAATGAATGCTTTGTTATGTCTGTATTCTATAGATTGTCGACAATTAGTATTAGTTTGAGAAACAATTATAAGTTTAAAATAAATTACAGAAAGTATTTGTTGGGAATCAGTCAACAAAATTCTGGCGCAATCGATGGCCACATTTCCCTGTCCTATGATTACCGCAGTTTCGCAGTTCAGATCAATATCTAAATCTCTGTCATCAGGCACTCCGTTATACCATCCGACAAATCTTCGGGCAGATATCACATGAGACACATCCTCGCCCTCTATATTGAGTTTCCTGTCCTGTGCGGCGCCATAGCAGAGGACAACCGCATTGTAATTGTCTCTAATCTGCTGCAGACTAATGTCAGATCCAATGCTAATGTTACCCATGAAAGTGACTCTTTTGTTGAGTGCAGTGGTCGTGAATGAGTTGATGACATTCTGACACAAATGCATATATAATGTAGTAATCAAGGGATCAAATGAGTCAATGGTGGCAAACCAATTGGCAAACCACTAGCCCACGCTGTGGTTTGGCGTGATTGGGCTTTCCCTGCCGTTTGAAGAGTATGTACAGGTGTTTATGAGAACCTAAGATACGTAAACCTATTGTGTATGTAATATTCGTTTACAGATATCTTAGGGTAAGTGGTGGTAACACGCCTTAAGAAGTTGTTGAGTGGTGTAGAAACCTGACGGTCCGCTCCCGACCACTGCTATCCTAATGGGGTTTTGCAAACATTGAGCACTTTGTGACAAATGCTTTGAACAAACCATTGACAGTAAGTTTGTCTTCAACTTCCTATTCACACAACTAATCCTTTGCAAAATATGCAAACTTTGTGACATTTTTTCATACAAATTAACTTCTTATCAATTATTTATATTAATTAATTAACTAGGAAAACTTGTCAAAATATCACCATATCATGGTTGTTATAATTTACTGTACTCTTAGTAGATTATAAAACAAATAAGAATTAAAAATATATTAAAATGGTGACATTTGCTAGGATATACAATTAAAATATACAATTAATTAGCTAATAATTGGTGACATTTAAAATAAAACATTTAAAGTTTTTAAGTGACAATCAATAGACTATCAAACAGTGTGTAGAATATACTGTATGTTACGAAATGTTTGTTTACAATGCAATGCAAGTAAAGCACGTGTTTGGGGCGCATGTCATCTCCCGTCAAATCACTATCAATAGCCAACTCTTATGTCAAACTTGCACTGATCATTGATCCTTCAGTGATTCCTACAGATAATTGATGATAAATTTGTAACTAATCTTGTGGTTACTGTATCAGTTAAATTTGTACTATAGTCACTAAGTTGTAAACATTTTTCAAACTAATGCCAAAATTAGAAATGTCAATAATTACACAGGTTACATTTTATTGATATAAATCATTTAAACTTTATCTATAATACATAAATAAGAACTAAATTAATATATTATTAGTTGCAGAATATATTACAAGAAGACATGAGATTAGAGTCTATAATATAGACTCTATACAGATATACAGGTACAGATATACAGTTGGTGTGGATCTCATGGCACGGAATGGGAGTCCTGTTCGGCAAACAATTCCATGAGTTTATTGAAGCGAACGATCACTTCGTTGGGGTGTTTGGCGAGAGTGAGGGCCACCTCTTCGAAGAACTCGTCACTCAATTCATTGTGTTTGTCGTCCATAACCCTCTTCTGACAGACTTCTAACAGCATCTTATCGTCAGATATGTTCCAAACCTTTGTCTCATTTGTATCGCAATTGCTTTCCAACCCTTTATTACTGTCGGTCTCTAATTCAGTGTCGCTTTCAATCATTTCTTCGTCGATATTGTCTTCATTTGGTTTAATATTTTCATTATTTGTTGAATTGTTATCACATTCGGCGAAATGGATTTCAGCCAAACCTAACTTCTTGTGGTTTTGTGTCAAATAAACTCGACCTCCGATGAAGCGAATGCTGCAAGAAGTGCAGTGGTGTGTCGTATGTCCCACAGGGCATGACCTACAGGGGCACTCATTAGTGCCGTATTTGAGTTCATCATCACTTTCGGGAATATTTATCGTTTCGAAACTCATTTTATCCGTCATTTCAGTCCTTTCTTCGTCATCACTGCTGTCGATCACAATCTCATCGAAGTCTTCGTCTTCAAAGAGGTATTCACTCGGCTTTTCCTCTAAAACCAAAGTCGAAAACTCATGCATGAGATATGAGTGGCCGTTCAATACCCGGTTTACTGTCGACCGAATCCTATTTTTATCACAATTTTCAGAATTCTGTTTCAATTGATTCAAAGATCGAAACAATCGCTGCAAACATTGGGAATCATTTGACGAATAAATCTCTAGTTTGCGAACAAAATTAAAGAATCGCTTCCAATACAAGAAGTCAAACATTTTGTCGCATTCTTCTGCCTGTTCTGCGCTCAAGAATAGCACGAATTCACTCATTAGCTCTTTACTGACGTTAGATTTCTTAAAGAATTCCTCGATTTGGCAAAACATCTCTTTTATGAGACCTTTTTTAACCACCGATTGCTTCTCACTTCCCTTTTGATGAAAGTTTGACAAAAGCGTCAAAAAGTGAATGTAGTCCTCATTTGTGACACATTTTCTAACTTTTTCCAAAAAGTTATGTATCAATAGCCCTTCCTTTTGGTGAGAGTAGGGATCACTTTCACTGAATTCAAAGGACAATAAATGAAGTGTGGATTCGCGTTGTTTGACGGCTAAAGACTTTCGGCCCTCTTTTTTGTTACCATTTAGTAATACAACTGAAGAACTATTGATATCACTACTAGTTTTAGATTTATATTTGTTTTTAGTGGTGATCGTCGAACTGGCGGTCATGAGAGCCGCTAAATCTGATTCGTCGTCCAAATCCACGTCGTCTTCATTCACAACATTATCATTCATTGGTTTTTCATTATTCTCATCACTTGTATTCATTTCGTTTAAAACATTTGTCTCACAAATCACATCCAAATTCAGAGTCTTTTCTTTACGAAATGGCTTTTGATTTTCAGTTTCTTTTATCTCTGCGTTTGTGACCGAGTTTTGAGTGAAGCTATTGTTTGCATCGCAATTGTCTCCACAAATATCAATGACTTGAGTTTGTGGGCAAATGGGATGAATTGCAATCTTCTTACCGGTATATCTTGGAGTCAAGAGATTAAGAGTTGATTTGTTTGGATTCAATCGATTCAAATATTTATACTTTTTGACGATTGAATTGCTTTGTTTTACCGGTGATTGTTGTGAAACGAAATGGTTTTGAGACATATTTCCAGATTTGAATTTCTTTGATTTCGGGATCAAATTAGAAGTCATTTGCGTTTTGATTGTTTGACACAATTGATCACCACTTTGAGAGTCTTTAGCTTTGAGCGCTTTCTTATACCAATCGGGAGCTGTCTTGTGGTTCCGATAAGTGTCCAGATTTGGGTCAATGACTCCCGAATGAGTGTTCGGTGCCTTTCCCTCCACACTCTGGTATATAATGGGATTATCTCTGAATTGGTATTGATTTGCATTGTCTTTGTCTTTCTCCTCTTTAGCCCTTCTCTTAATATTCTTGATATGAGTCCTGATCTGATCGACTGTTTTTGTGGGCAAAAGAAGTTGTTTTATATACCGATAACACATTCTTAACGAGAAGAGTGGTGCGAACTCTTCCAAACCCAATGCAATCAAATGGTCTTCAGCTAAAGTAAAGATGGTTTTGCTTTTATCAACGCGTTTGTCATAATAACCACAATTAGGCAAAAGCCAGTCATAGATGAATACATCGCTATTTGAAAGGAATATCTTTTGATTCTCTTTAGAGACAGGAAGTGATCGCCAAGAAGTCATCGATTGAGTGGTTGTTTGAGAGGACGTTTCGATTGGGTATTGAGTGATGAGTTGTATCACAGGTTTTATATCAAGTGAGCCATAGATTGGATTTGATTTAGTTTCTGAACACTCATTAATCTGAGTTAACATTGAGTTTGCATTTTGTGCCACAGTTTGCAAACCATTGGTCTTCAGAGACTGTAAGTATGTCTGCGCTAACAGTTGGATGTGTTGTGACCACTGAGTGACCAGAAGTTTGACACTTTGCTCATCAAACAAGTCACCGGAAATACCTTCACTGGCGCTGATGACAGCTGTGGACACGTTCTGCACTTCAATCTCATTGTCCTCTTCATCTAACAGCAGATCCAACTCATAATCAGTCACTTTGACGGCTCTGTCATCTCTGAAGTCCCAGTCGTCGTCCAAATGGAGTAAGTCTTCACTAATGCTATACTCGGGATCATTCACTTCCTCGTTGTCCTCATTGTCTTCGTTCTCCTTATAGAGTGAGTCGTCGTAAAGAGAGCTCAAGAACTCGAGCCAAAGAGTGTCTGAATCAGGATTTTCAGCCATTGTTCAGATCATCGACAGCAACAATACACAGCAAAACACTGATTGGTCACTAATGGTGGTCACAAATACACATTGAATGCACTTTCATGGCAGTGATCACCACAACATTCACCAATTGATCACAAAATGTGTGACAATCTCTTGTGACTGTAAACCGTATGTATTGTTGACAACAATCACTTCCCCAAGTCTTCAGCCCCTGTCAATGGCCCCCACTGTAGACATACAGTTGTGGCGCCACTTTTGAATACAACTTTTAAATAAGAAATTGTGTCCGGGTATATACAGTAAATATGAGAAATGAACATTCAGTTATGATATTTAAAATAGCTTTTTAGGAAAATAAGCGTAATATAAAAATCTAAATGCAATGATTGACACACTAATTGACCAGGTATCGATATAAATTACAAACAATCAAATTGTTTTTATTTACGGTATTATTCAATGGCAGACAATATTGGGTCTAAAATACAGTAATTAGCGATTGAATAAGAATTAAAAATCAATAATAAATGATAATAGTATGACATTTAAAAGCAAGCAATGGTTTAGATAAGAGATTAAGGATTGAACTGAAGCTGTCTTTTATTGTAAAAGAGTTTATTCGCACTCTTATTATGACTACTCTTGAGTTGAATGCATTCGTAGATAATTTTGGACATAAATATGATTTGTGGGTCGATGTGAATGGCTTCGGGGACAGACAGCGGGGAGTGAACTGAACTGAAGTAGAACTCGAAGTTTGGCTCTCCTTTCAGATTGAATTTAATGAGCGGCGAGACGTTGGGTCCGTACGGGAGGGCACAGCCATCTGGCACTCCCAGCGCTTGGGAGGCGAGCACTCGTAGGCTATTCTTAAAGTGACCGCTTCTGTCAGCTTTCAAATAATCTATGGTTTTGTTGAGACAATCCTTTTGGTAGTTGGCGTCAGTCCACAGATTCCGGTTCTCGTAGACCATCAACGGGTGGTTATCGTTGAGTTCAAGCGATTGGTTGCTCTCCTCATCCATGGCGTCGTAATGGTTTTGTTGAGACAATCCTTTTGGTAGTTGGCGTCAGTCCACAGATTCCGGTTCTCGTAGACCATCAACGGGTGGTTATCGTTGAGTTCAAGCGATTGGTTGCTCTCCTCATCCATGGCGTCGTCGTGTTCTTCTTCAGACGCTATCATTATATTCGTCACCAATTGTCTTGAAGTGGACACCAATTGGTTGTTAGCGGCGACCGATTGTGTGACCTTTGAAATGGACTTTTGTTTCACGGATTGTCTTTGAGGAGCACTTCTGGCCGAAGGGTTCGCTTGTTTCATGAGTTGGGATGTGTTGGGCGTCTCCGCTAATG